TTTGATAAATTATAAAATGATTAAGGCTTGAATAATTTGAAATCAAACTAATATCATCCTCCGAATGACCGCTGTGGGGGTACTATAACATTCCACATGTGTAACTGTACTCTCAAATCTAAAATATAGTTTCGTGGATCAGATTATGTTTCAGGTGACCAATCACGCTTAAACAAAAAATATTGTTGGCGATTCCTCTTATCCATGTCTAGTGATAGGCCCATAGATCTGTATGTTATGGTAATTTGTATAAAAAAAAATAATTGGACTTGCAGATCTTGGACTAAATAGGGTGTCTACAATTGCTCCTCTTTACGCATTTTTTGTGCAACTGGAATTGTACAAAGACATAGATACTTCATTATATCCGGGTGTGACTTAACAACAACTACAAAATCTCAAAACTTCAAAGATTCACAATCTGAAGTATTCAAAAACTTTATAATCCGACATTTACAATTGAAACTCAAAGATTCACAATTTGAGTTCAAAGAATCACAATTTCAAAATTTAAAGGTTCATAATTCAAAGATTTGCAAGAATTTTCATATTTGCAAGAATAAAGATTTACAAAATTTAATTATCAAAATTTTAGTTTCACAAAGATTAAAGATTTGTAAGAATTTGATTCGCAAAATTTTAGATTCACAAGATTTTTCAGCTTTGTAAGAATTCAGATTCGTAAAATTTTCAGCTTCAAAAGAATTCAAATTCATAAAATTTTAAGATTCACATGTGATATTCACATCCAAAATTTTAATTCAGGGATTTGCATGAAAATTGTAAAGCTCATACTCACATTCAAAATTTCTGTAGATTCACACTCAAAAGATAAAGATATTTTTAAACTTTAAGGATTTACTTCCAAGATTTCAAAGATTTTGATTCATATATTTCTCATTTAACAACTTCAGGATTTCATCCAAAATTTCAAAGTTTTTCATTCGAGTTTAAATATTCACATTTGATAAATTTTAGAGTTTCACATATAAATTCAAAGGTTCTTATTCAAAAAATTTAAAGGTTCACGTCCAAAAGTTTAAAGCTTCTTATTCGAATTCAAATATTCACATTTGATAAATTTTAGAGTTTCGCATCTAAATTCAAAGGTTCTCATTCAAGAAATTTGGGGTTCACATCCAAAAGTTCAAAACTTCTCATTCAAGTTCAAAGATTCACATTCGATATATTTTAAAGTTTCACATCCAATTTCAAAGGTTCTTATTCAAAAAATTTTACATTCACATCCAAAAGTTCAAAGTTTCTCATTCGAGTTTAAAGATTCACATTAAAAAAATTTTAGAGTTTCACCTCTAAAATTTTAAAAATTCTCATTCAAAACTTCTTAAAAATTCTCATTTAAATCTAAAAAATTTTCATTTAAAACTTCTTAAAGATTCTCATTTAAAACTTAAGGATTCTCATTTAAAGATTCATAATTTTTTCTTAAACGACTTCATCAAAAGATTCAAAAACATTTTTCCAAATGACTTTCAAACTTTTATCAAAGTCAAAAATTTGTATGTAATGAATGCCATGATTAATGATACAAATGCTTTCTTAATGCAAATACAACAATCTAGATTCTCATAATATTGTAGACGCCATATTCTAAACCATAATTCAAATGTTCACTACATGAGGCAAATGCATGGTCAGCCAATATTTAAATTTTCACCAAATTATATACATGTATTATTCAAACAATAATGCAAATGCAATACATGTAATGCAAATGTCATTAATGTCATGGAATTCTAATTAATTATGGTAATATGGTTCTCAAGACTCCACTATCTCATCTTTTTCCTTTTTAGCATCTCGACATTAGCAATTTTAGAATAAATTTCGTTAACTGCTCCACATTATTTCCATCACTTGATCATCACTCACAAGCTTCACAGTACTAGCAATTTCAGAATAAATTTTGTCTACTAATTCACATTATTTATATCATTTGATCACAATTCACAAGATATGTCAATCAATATATTACCATATTCATCATTTGGTCATCTTATATGTCTTTTCAAATAATCTTTTTAGGCTTCTTCCATCTTTTATTTTTTTTGCCCTCTAGATTTCTTTTCAAAGAAATACATGAATTTTTTCTAAATATTATCATTCATTCATTATCATTTCAATTCTTGACAAATATAATGCAATTATATATTTTCTTAATTTATTTTAAAGATGCAAAAATAAGAAAAGTGTAAGGTGAATAAGAACGAGACTGGTAAAAAAATAAATAAAAATGAACAAATTCAAAGTATATCATTCAGGATGGTATTGAATGGTATAACAATGTCTAAACAATGAATATTAAGATAATTCTTAACATTAATCCAATTTTTTTTCAGTAACTCATTCAATTGTCTTTCAAAATCATTTTGAGCTTATCAAACTTTGCCCTAGTTTTGGAGAATCTTCGAATAATATTAATTTTCCATATATTTAACTGCCCCTTCAATTTTTAGCTTAGAAGTTTTTCTACCCAAATCACCCTTTTGGGTTTTCAATTTAAGTCTTTCTTTTCTCTCTCTTTTTTTTTTATTTTTCACATTTTTCATTTTTTCGCTTTGTTCATTTTTTTATTTTTTTCATTTTTTCATTTTTTTCTTCATCCATTATTGATATATCCACACATCAATCTCTAAAACATAAGAACATAGCATGATTCCATTGCTCCATCACAAGCATGCCTTAGACCAACATATAAGCATTCAATTCAAGCATTCACATTTAATCAAAATAGACTTTTAAGGGTTGTAATGTAGCCTATGGTAAGGGTTCATGAAAGATATGGATAAAATAGGCTCAAAACATTTATTTAAAAGGTTCAAATTAAAGATTATTTCCCATCATGTGATGCAATTTGCATTTTGCCTCATTCAACATCATTTCATTACTTTTCTTTCTTTTTTTTTTTTCATCTTATTTCTCACAAAAAGATTCTCATTACTTCACCCCAAATCATTTGTGGCATTCATTTTTTTTTTTGTAAGGGTTTTTCTTTCTTTTTTTTTTTAAACTTTCTATCTTTAAGCCTTTTTGCAATCTCTTGTCCTTTTCCTTTTTCAAGTATGTTTTTCTCAAAATTTGCTTCTTAGTATTGATGATGATCTTTAGTTAGAGTTTTTTAGGAAAAAAAAATCATAATAGGCTTAAAAGGTGTAACAATGGATGGTTTTATGAATGGTAAAAGAAATATGATCATTTTTTATCTTAAACGTAAATGCTTTCTTTAAAGATCATCTATTGAACAAAAACAAACTCATGGTTCTTTTATAAAAGACTACATATCTTTAAGACATATCTATTTCATATATGCTAGTAGCTTACTTTTTTTACTCAAACAGTTTTTACAAATCAATGTGAATGAGTTTTTAAAATTAAATCCCAGAATTATTGTTATCATTGTCTAAACATTCATCATTTGGAATATGAGAATGAGAATAAAAAGACATGGGAAAAAAATAAAGCATGGAATAGTGGTTGGGATGAAAGAGAAAATATAATGAAATGCATCATACTTGCATGTTATTTAAATGATATAAAAATGAAATCTTATTACATAAAAAAAATTCTTAACATTACTCTAAAGGAAATATCAAAATGACAAGTAATATCCAACCAACCTTAACATCATTTTTCTTCTCAAAATTATGCCTATGTGTGATCAGGTGAAGGATTTTTGTTAACATCTTATCCTCATGATTTGTCAATGCTCACTAAGCCTTTTCCGAATGAAACTTTGCACCTTATGTTTGAAAGTAGGGCAAGTTTTAATAGAATGACCCACATTCTCATTATGATAATCACATGTGGCATTAGGTATTATACTATTTTGAATAGGGTGGCTTCAACGGTTTTAGGATAACTGGAGATACCAAGTCGTTCTTAACCAGTTTTGAAAATAACTAAGTGTAAGTCACGGAGATAGGATGAATGTGAGTCTTTTCTTGGTTCTTTCGAGATCTTTTTAAACCACTCGCTTGGTTGTTAGGTTTTGAAGTTGATGTAATGATATGGCTAGACCCATATATAGGTACTTGAAAGGTTGATTGGTAGGTTGGTGGGTAAGTTGGTTACGGATATGGTTGGTAAGGGCCTATGCAATACCATTAATTGCGAAATAGTAAACAGGATGAACATACGGTGGATATGGAGCACAGCTTTTGAATTGTTACCTATCAAAATTCACAGCTTGGGCTTTAGTTTTTTTCTTTTTAGGCAACCCTCTAATTATATCAAAATATGGTACATGTAAGGATGATTTTTTTTATTGGATTTGATATCGAGCAATACCAAATGTTTTCGTTAATTTTGGCATGTTTCAGTGAATTTCGATGAAATAACATGTTTTAGTTTATATGTAAATGTAAAATATATTTTATAATTTTTAACTTGTCTTTTGTTATTTAATTGACAAAATAAGTCATTGAGTTTCTTTATTTTTTATTTTAATTTTTTTATACTTTATTTTTTCAAATCTAAGTTTATAAGTATTTCAATTTTTTTTCAAGAAAATAATTATATTCTTTTTATAAAGTTTAACAATTATAAAATCTTGATTAGTTTTTTTTATCTCTTTGTTTTTATTTTAATATTTATATATAAATACTTATTTAAATATCATATGATCAGATTAAGTGTTTAAAAATATCATAAAAATTTTTTTTATATTTTTTAAATTTATTTATTTGATTTTTGAATATATTATATATTTATTTTGTAAATTATTAATAATATTATAGTATACTAGTTCATATATGTTTATAAATATATTTGTATTAAATCAAAAAATTTGAAATAATATATCGAAACAACTGATACTAATATTTATCATATTTAAAAAAAATTAAATATTATTCGATATAATATTAACAACATTGATGATAAGACTTATAAAAAAATTAATGAGCTCTGTATGAATCAATAATTTTGTTTTTGTTTTTGTAAAACATATATATATATATATGTATATATAATAAAATATATTTATTTTTGTATACGGTGGAGCATTGAGCGGGGCCGGGTAGGGTTGCGGATTACCCAACTAAACATTTTACCCACTGCTAAAGGAAAATGTAAAGCGTTTGTTGTCCTGGCGTTCGTAATCTTGAAGAAGGCCAAATAGCAGCGACGAAAATGGAGGGAATGATTCAGGACCCATCGCAGCAGCAGCAGCAGCAGCCACAACAACAGAATCAGGTAATGGTGGGGGCGGAGAAGCTGAACCAGGCGGTGCAGCAACAGCTCAATTTGGAATCTCTAAAGACCAGAGCCATCTCCCTTTTCAAAGCCATCACTCGCATCCTCGAAGACTTCGACGCCTATTCTCGCACCAACACAACCCCCAAATGGTCTTCTTTCTTCTTATTCCATTCATTTCCAACCTTAAATCTTCAGATTTTGATATATATATATACATATATTTTAGGGTTTTTCTTTTTGTTTGTTCGTAAATCAGGCAGGACATTTTGGGCCAATATTCAATGGTAAATCTTGAGCTTTTCAACATTGTGGATGAAATCAAAAAGGTTTCTAAGGCTTTCGTTGTTCATCCCAAAAATGTTAATGCCGACAATGCGCTCAGTACGCTTATTTATTTCCTTTACACTTCATCTTTGTTACCATTTTTTTTCTTTTAACTGTTGGTTGAGTTAGTTGAATTGGCAATAGTGTCTTATCTAATTGATTGTAAGTACTTAGTAAACCCAGTTCTTTGGCTGCAGTATTACCGGTTATGTTATCCTCCAAGCTACTGCCAGAGATGGAAGTGGAGGATAATTTGAAGCGAGAGCAGTTGCTTCTAGGAATGCAAAATCTGCCAATACCTTCACAAATTGAAAAGTTAAAGGTGATCTAGTGTAATACAGACCGTCTAGTTGTTTTTATCCCTTTGAATCCAGTGATTTTCAGGCATGTGATTTTCTGGTTTTGCAGACTAGAATCGATATGATTGGAGCTGCCTGTGAAAGTGCTGAGAAAGTATTGGCTGATACCCGTAAAGCATATTGTTTTGGCTCTCGTCAAGGGCCACCGATTCTTCCCACTCTCGACAAGGGTCAGGCTGCAAAAGTTCAAGAACAAGAGAACTTACTCCGTGCTGCTGTGAATCTCGGTGAAGGTGATAATCTTGAGCTGTTGATCTAATAACTATATTTAAAGCCATGAAATGTACCAAGATATTAATGGTTTCCAACTTATAGTTTGATGGGCCAATCTATGCCCTTTATTGTTTTCCTGGGGCAAAAATCTGATTGAGCTGATCACAATCATGGGAATGTCAATCTAAGCTAAGTTTGCCCCTATGCAGTGGTTGCTGGGTTTAATTTATTCTTTCATTGAAAACAGGTTTAAATTTTATACAATCTATTATAATTTTCCTTTTAGCATTTTATTGGAATGACCTTTGGTCATAGATAACAAGATGAGGTTGATTTAGACAGTAGTTGAAGTAATTGAAATTTAATGGATTTTAGATGAATGTTGTCGGCATGGATTTCTATGGTTAATTGAAGTTCAATCAAATTTTAGATGAATGCCTTTAGCATTGGTTTGTATGATGTAGCTGGACTATTTATGTTTCATGACCTGTTTTCATGACCTAGTACTTTGGCTTTAGCATGCTTATCAACCAATTATTGATTGTTATATGTATGCAGGTCTACGTTTACCTGCTGATCAAAAACAGATTACACATTCACTTCCACTGCATCTGGCTGACATTATGCCTGCAACTGATGGGATACATTCTTTTGCTGACTCATCTGGTAATTTTCCTACAATTATGGGCATTTTTCTAATTCAGTAGTAGAATGTTTCTAATTCTGTTGGATAGCATATTCAAACTATCTCTCACAGGCATGTACATGAAGAACACTCCTCTTACGTCGAACAACACTGGCAGTCAGGGGTCTTTGTTACAGGTTAGATTATTGACTTACCTTTAATCTGTCTTTTCCTAAATCTACATGCATGTAAGCCTGTATGTTTTTGTCAAACTATAAGGTGAACAAGCTATTTGAGTTCTTTCTTTGATTATTGTCATCTCATTCCAATATCTGATTTTCAAAGAGCAACACGCATGCTAAGTCTGTGTGAACTCAATTTTGGACTCTCTTTGAACACATTCTGGACTGTTCTTTGTCACTTTTGCTGATTGTGGGCAACATATTTTCTCCTAATCATTCTCGTTAAATGGTGCTTCTGAACTCTAGTAGTGCTAGGATGAGTTAATAAATATCTCATTTATGTATAAAATTTAACCATTATAGCAACAACATCATGGATGTTGGCCTATTGTAAGAAGGCCACATTAGGACTTGCCGTCTGCAATGCCTGTCTCAAATTCTTATGTATGAATTCTTGTTCTTAATAAATGCTTCTTCTCCATTTATGTGTCATCTCATGGGACAAACTGACAGATTTATTCTATCTTTATCATTATAATTGAACTGATATTTCCATATGCATGTCTAAGTAAAGGGTTTTCTAATTGGAGGCATCTAAAAAAAGGGCAGCCCGGTGTGTGAAGTTCCTGCTATGTGTAGGGTCCAGGTTTTCTAATTGGAGTCATCTAACTAAATTTTCATATAAGAAACTCCTACTTTGTCCAAATGCTTGCTTTAACAGTGATTTTCCAGTTGTTTCACTTGATAGGCACTAAAAGCTAGCATCTTATTGACCATTAATTCACTTGGAGGTAGGCCAAATCACATGGCTTGCCTTTGATTAGACCAGTTTTGTAAATATCCTGTTATTCTCACTTGATTTTCCATATTCATCTTATGACAACTATTGTGTATCATTTCCGGTTATATGTCTTGTTTTCTGAAGTTCAAAGTTCATAGTAGTGCTATAGCTTTATTCTTCTTATGTCAGGCTACTGGAGCACAACTTATTGGTAGATCAGCTGCATCTCCTTCTGCTGCTACTAGTGCTACCTCCTTCGATAACACCACAAATTCTCCACTTCCATATGCCAACTCACCTAGGTCTGGAACAAATATTATGAACATGCCATCTCCTCAGCAACAAACCCAGCAACAGCAGCAGCAGCAACAACAGCAGCAGCAGCAGCAACAGAGGCAAAAAATGATGCAATTGCCTCAGCATCAACAACTCCTTGCCCAGCAACAGTTCAGGCAATCTACAATGCAAGGAATGGGACAGGTATAACTTTTAATGATTTTTGTTTCTTTTAATGTTTTTGTGAAGCCATAAGGAGTAACTCATAACATATCAACATCCATGTGTATATGCATGTGGGCATGCTATGACTTTACATAGTAATTAGGACTCTTGGTTGACTTGGTAGGAATTTTCAAAACTTTCATGAGTTAAGGGACTGTTAAAAGCTGAATCTTATGATTCTAAATAAATTTGAGCGATTTTTTTATGTTTATATTGCTGAGACATAGAACTGCTCTGCATTCTTCTCAGCCACTTAGTTTAGTTATATTTATGAAAATCATATCCTTGGTACAGAATCAGCTGCCAGTTCATGATCTGCAGGGTCAGACCTAGCAGAAGTTTCAGTCAGTAACTTTCTACTGACTACTTCTATTCCTTAACTTCTTGTTTTATCTGAAATTTCTTATGAATTACAAATGTATGAGTAATATACATTAGTGCATAAAAAATCACATTCCAGCATTTGGTCTTTGAAATGAGAGAATACCCATACATTCTTTTCTGTGCTTTGGAATATCAATATTGTCCGGAACCTAGTGAATTTTAAGTATTTAAAGTTTAGGAAATGGGATTGTTCTGTTAAGTTGAGTCTTTGGAGCCTCTTGCCTGCACTTGGGTAGCTTTTATAAACAGGAAGTTTATAGTCAGAATGTGTGGGGTTTGGTTGTGGTTTGAGTTTTATACAGTGGAGCTGACAACAAAATTTAAAAAGTGCCTCTTGAAATGACTGCAAATTTAAAATGATAGTGGGTGGATGTTTATATTTAAGACTTCTCATTCAAACTTGCATACCTGTGTAATAATTGTTAGCTATTAATCACTTTAGGGGATGAAGGAATTTGTATGAGATTTGCAACTGCCTCCTGAAATAACTAGAATAGTGAATTACAGTGAAGTTATTTTGTAAATCTCTGCTACACTTTACAGATGAATATTTATATATGAAAGTGAAAGCATCACTGACCTTGTTATTGTGAAAGCGATTGAAGATTTTGTTTTTCCCTCCTTTTGTTTATTGAAATTCTATGAATCATTGAACTTTGTCCTAGACACATAGTACTTTTCACTTGATTTTATCTGTAAGGGGAGAGGTTGAGTGTTGCTTGGGGGGGGGGTGTGTGTGCTGATGCAGCCATGGGAAGTGAGCCCAATTCTTTTACAGATAGGGTTTAAAGTGAGTGGTTCTGTCTCTTCTTTTTTTTGGATCTAACTTAGGACACTTTATTCCTGAGGAAGCACATGTATTCTAGCCTTCTAAAATGTACCTTTTCTTCATTCTATTGGTTTAACTGAAACCAAAATCTCTTTCCACCAGTTACATGGTCAGATGCAATTTTCTCAGCCCTTGGCCCACCAGCAATTTCAGGGTAGGCAGCTTCCTCCTGGACATGTTCAGCATGGAATAGGTCAAAGTCAACTTAATCAAGGAACTCAGTTGAGTCGTCATTTAAGCCAATTCTCCAGTCCAGCAAATACTGCACTGTTCAATGCTGCTCAGGGGACACCAAGTACTCAGATGGTTAGATATATAACAGTTCAATTTGTTTTATTACCTGTGTTCTATTTATAACTCTAAAACATTGTCTATAATGTGTTTTTTTTTTCCATAAAACGAAGCTTATCATGTAGAGTCATTCATATGAATTAGGTTTATGTATTCCTGATGAAAAAAATGCCAGATTGAAGGTCCTCTTGCTTCACGCTTCTCAACTTAGGAAATCTGTCCTTTTCATGATTGGGGGTTTCGGTTGAAATTCAAATATTGCTCTGTTAATTTTTGCATTATATTATTGTGCTCTTATTTATTAATATTAATTTGTCCATCTAATTTATATATTTATTCATCTTTGAATATGTTGTTGAAGTTCTTTAAGATTGTGCTTTAACAGTTCCTAGTTTCTTCCCTTGTCATTGAACTTATAGTTGCTAGGATTGAAAAAAGCCTTTTAGAGTATTGATTGAAGGTAGGTTCTCAATTATGAGGGAGGGAACAAATTAGAGACTATTGTCTCAGGCAAAACAAAGGGCGTTTTTTTATTTGAGGATTTTTTTTTTTTTTGCTCAAAAGAGAATGGTGATGAAGGGGTTTGGCTGTGGCATTGTGAGTTGGTTAATGTTCATTTGGCTTTCAAAAGGTTTTTAGCCGAATTAAATTTAGGTAACCTAAAATAGGATGCCAGCTATTTTGATTTTCCTGTGGTACAACTTAAAATTGGAGTTTCTTATGTTATCCAATATACTATTTAATATTATTCTAAATTATCAAACAAGAAATCATATGTTGCTAAAGAGTAACGTAAATTACAAAAAATTATGCTTTGTGGATATACAAATTAGTCATTATGTTGGTGGATTTAGCCATGTGGACATACATATGGAATTGATATGTCTAATTCAGTCAAGATTCTAATGTTGACTGGTGGAAGGATGGATTTTGAAGAATGCAAAAATGTTGTGGATGATAAACATGAGAGTGAAATGAAACATTTTTAAAAGGTCATGAATTGTGGATGAATTTATTTGTTTTAGATGCATGTGTGTGTAAATTTTTATTAGTCAGTACCTTCACAGTTTTGCATGTCAGCTTCAGCAGTTATCATCCTTAAATTTATAAGCCCTTCTATTTGAGCTTGTTTCAGAAGGGGTGGTATAACATATTGGGAATTTTATGCTTGTGCCTTTTCAATCTTCTTCTGCACATATAATTAATAAAAAAATGGTTTAGCTTCGACAAATTTTCTCTAGCAAAAAGTGTAAGTTTTTCATCTTGGTTGGTCCTATGCATGTCTTGTTCTGGTTTGTGTTCCATCTTTTGAATGCTTAATATATAATAATAGTTGTTAAGCTATAATCTTCAAGCCCACTACTTTTGTTTCTTGTACAAGTGCATGAAACATGCATTGACTGTTCTTCTTTCCACTGTTTCATTTCTAAATTGGCCACTGAATCTATTGTTTGTCATCTGCAATGTTTTCCACTTATATATTTTATTAACTTGTGAGGTCCATTTATGTTACTTTTTCAACCATAATTTGGTTTACTTTTATGTTTTTATTTTGGTATTGTTTCTTAATGTTGATGTGCCCCCTTTTCTTTATATTGAAGTTATCTCTTTCATGGTTTAAATTTATGTTTTCAATGTATTGGTTTAGATCCCGAACATGTCTGCAACTATGCCATCACAGTCAATTCTACCAAGGATGCAGGTTAGTTGCTAATATTTTTGCTTAGTATCTGTTTCTTAGTCAGCTTTCCTTCTTTGTACAAATCATGCATATTGTGAAATGTATCTTGGCTATAATAAATGTCATTTAAAAAATTGACTCTTTAAGCTTTTGAAGTCTTCATAAATCATGGAGCCATTTAACTTTATTGTCAAGGCTCACTTTGTGTAAATATTAAAAGCTTAGAAATTTTCGGTTCTGTATAGGCTGAATGGTGATGTATTCAAAATTTTGTTTGTTTGTTTGTTTTTCTTTTTAAAAAATTTTTATAGAAATTTCATAATTCCTTGGTCTTAGGGATTTAGTTGGGCTGGTAGATGTGGTTACATTTTCCTTAATTATCTGGGCATATTTGGTGCAGATATAAAAAGCTTTTTAACTTTTTCACTTGTGCATGAACTGAGTCATTGGTTTTACGTGTAGCTTTGTTTCAATCAAAATTGGTTGTTGGTTTTGGGGATTTATATAGGCACAAGGAATTATGTAGCTTAGATTGCCCAAATACATTTTGTATAGCAAATCTGGCAGATCCTACACAGATATTTCATTGGTGTCCCAAAAGCTGTATATGTAATTGGTGATTGTATTCTGCATTTGTATACTTGTCCTTATTTATATATCGCATTAATTTTTTCTGTTCCTTGTTAAGTATTACATACCTCATTCATTCTTTTCAATCCATTATGCAGTTTGGATTACCTGGTAGCAATCTGCAGCGGAGTCATCAAGCACAAGTCTTAAGTGATCAAAGTATGAATAATGGTCTTTGACATTCGTTCATTCTTTTCTATATATAGTGGTGCTTGGTTGCTTCTTTGCACTTTCCTCTGCCTATTTCTGCCTCTACCCAGCAAAACCAAAATTTAAGAGTATCTAGAAAACATATTGTGCAATGCAACTGTGGACAGCTTTGAATTTTATGTGAATTGAGACTTTAAAATTTCTGTTTGGGCCTTTTGGTTTCAGTGTTTAATATGGGATCCAACCCTGGTGGTATTATGCCCATGCAACCGCAGCAGCAACAGCAACAACAACAGCTTGGTTCACAAGGTGCATTTGGTAATATGCCCACTACCCAGAATTTACAATCTAATATGGTAGCTCTTCAAAATAACCCACAAAGTCATCCCAACTTTGCACAGCAAAGACAGCAGTGATATCACCTGTAGATGTCAAGATAGTTTCGTGGATAATATGCCGTGTTAAGCTATATAGGAAAATTGTGTATCTTCTATATTTCTTTGGCTTAGAAATTAGATTTAGCCCGTCCAACTTGTTATCTTTTTCCCCAGTGAAACCATGTATTCGGTTCCTTGTCTGAAAACTGTTGTTTGTGGTCTGTCGTTGTGATGTGAGTTCTTGTTTTCCTTCAGGATGGCTGGTTCTTATAATTATCATGCCGGTTGCATTTTTTTTTAAGTTAATTTAATTTTGCTTTCAATTTCTTTTTAGTTGGGGGAAGTAGGTTATACACCTGGGGTTCTCCATTTACTTGGGGAGTAAGGTGTGCTTTTTTTTCATACTGCTGCTTACTCTTAATGAATGTGTATCCATCTTGCAACTGCTTTATAGCTTTGTACACTGTTTTCTGACAAATCAAGTGTGATTTTCCTTTTTTTATTTACAAGAGGTCATAACTTGGAATAAGGGAGATTCAAATTTTAGACTCGCAAGATGTTACTTTTTAAGAATGGTTACGCGAATCAATTGAGTTAAATTTTAGGTTTGTAAGTGTGATTTATGCATTTAAACAAATAATAGTTAGTATGATTCGGTCTTGATATAAGACATCCCACACGAATCTAGGGGCAGAGGTAGTTATGAATCTTAAAAGAATTGCAATAGGGGAAAAACTGAATGTTCGAAGAATCGTGTTTACAAATGTTTTGTTCATGCGTTTGTGAAAATTCTGTCAAAGGAATGGCCAATGGGACAGCAGTACTTGTTACAAGAAAGTCGAAGAATAAAGATGAAAAAAAAAATTGTGGATGGGTTAGTTCCATAGTATTTGCATGGCTAAACTTGTGGAGTTGACTTGGAATTTGTATAAGTGTACATGGATTGATAGATCAGGAGCAGCAACTATGGCATTTTTGCATCAATCATTCCAGCCTGTATTTCATGAACTACCAGCTGTAACTTGCAGTTGAATCCGGAAAGCGTACCAAAGGAAAGAAAAAATTAATTCTACGAACGATATTTATCATTGTTGTTATATAGATGAGTAGAATTTAAGAAGAAAGTAAACAAAAACATCAAAGTAATTCACGAAGTTCCGCGTCATTTGGAGCCAAAAATGGATATTTGAAAAAATCAGAGGAAGAGAAAGAAAAAACCCAAGGTAAAAAGATGTATCGATCTTGAAAAAGTTCTCGAGGCCCAATTCAGGAAACAATCATAAGTAATACACAAGCAAGGGCTTTTAAGCCTAAATATCCTTCATCGTACCTTTAACTCAAGTTTTATATTACAAATCAATAAAAATTTATTAATTTTTAGATAAGTATATAAATCTACATTATTAAAAAAAACAAGAGGAAAGCAAACCAATGAAGTCTGCTCTTGTTTTTGGATTAATATGTAATAACGAGTTTACATACCCTTTACTCGATCGCATACATGGAGTAGAAATAGATTAATCACACATGGATACAAAAGTTGCAAAAGAAAGGTATCTTATTTTTAAATGAATTTTGTATTTACTCCATGTTTGTAATTTTTTTTTTGAATTATATTATTGTGCACATTTTGAGAACTTATGAAAGTCTAATTGGAATACATATATTTTGATCGCTAGCATTATTGATTTGAGATTGTTTTGCTTGAAGACAAACAAAAATTTAAGTATGGGTGTGATGACTTTAGAAAACAAAGTTTTTCAATTGGCAATTTTAAGTTTTAAATTTGTGATTTTTTTTTATCTTTGCTAAATTTTGCTTCTTCTTGTTCTTAATAAGTTTAAATCTCTATCTTGTAGAAAAATACGGAGAAGGAATAAAAATGGGAAGTTTAGACGCAATTTGGATCGAATTTGCAACGCACTTGCATAAAAAATGAAATAGCAAAACCATGCAAAGTTAGTGAAGCATGCGGCAAAGGTCTCAAGCCCAAGTCAAACCTTTTCCAGAAGCTCTTCTCTACCTAAAACGACGGCCCATGCACAAAGAAAGGAAGGAACAAGTTTGGTCTTGATGAAAGACTTTTGAATTTTGAAAGGAATTCAAACATAAGTGAAAGAGATAAAAAAGGATTGAGGATCTTTTCAAATTTGGCGAAAATTCCCTCCCTCTCTCGCATCTCATTCAAACTCAAATGAGATGGCAAGGACAAGGCAAAATCCAAGGCAAGTTTGTTTGGACTTGTGAGACCAAAATGAGATTGGGCCTATTCCACGCGGGTCAGTGTCTGCCTTAGATCAACACGCGGGGTCCTATTGTGTTTATATTGTCTATTATGCTTGAGATTGTGTGTGAATGATTGTGGGGTTGATAAACTGTTTAGGAATGAGAAATATAATCAAACACTAACTTACTAAAGTGATCAAATCGGTTGCAATTCTCGGCTCCTAGATTCAGTAGTCAACTTCATAGTTCTTCAACCTTTAATTTCTCGTATTTCTCATTCGTTTTAAAGAATATTTTAATCTCTCTTCACTTGTCATAGCAACAGGTTCATTAGATTTGAGTTGAAGAAAGAAATTATAACAGCAAGATGCTAGCAAAGCTGGACAAATGAAGCATTCCCATTGGTCTGGACACATCAATTGATGCCTATAATTACCACCTCCAGCTGTCATTTGGAGGGAGGTTTAAAAGAGAGCTACTTAGAGAGCAGAATTTAGATTAGGAGTAGGAGTAGGAGTAGTGTAGAGTAGATTTATTTTCCTGCGCTTTCTTTCTTGCCAAACAGTCTTTACTCTTGAATTTCCTCTTTAATTTTCTGCATTTAAAGTTCTATTCAGCCGTTCATTACATTTACTTAGTTGTTAAGTGAATTTAAATTCAATCGCATTGATGAATTTCTTTGACTTGAGCTTGCACTTTCAGTTTATTCAATTTCTGTTTTCTTTCATTTTCTCTTTAAATTCTTGCATTTAAATACATATTCATACACTAGTTATCTACCTCTTAATTTTGGAGCCAAACACCTGCAAATTTGAGAGAAAAGCACAAGGTACTGCTGCTTATCCAGATTCTATTTTTCATATTCTGTCCTTCAATTTCCTTTATGATTCAAATGTTGTTTGGAGCTACTTGAGGAAGGTTAGTTTTGCATTTAGGTAGTGACAGTGCCTATAAGGTAATTTCTAGATTGAACCAAGTTCAACTCCATTTACATTTCATTTACTTTTGCGTTTATTACATGTTTGTTTAAATTCCTGTTCTGAATTTTGGTCTTACTTTGCAAGCTATTTTTAGCTTTGATTGTTGTCATTGTTGCTCTAAATTTTCATTATTCATTACATGTTAAAGTCATTTACATGTTTGTACATTGGGATTTAAATCTATTTTGGTTTTAGTAAATTCTGTTTTAGTGATTTCCATTCGGTTGTTGTGATTTTTTCTATTTTCTTGCGTTCCTCATTTCATGTTCATGTTATATTGATCTTCCTTTAGGTTAATTGTTTGGTTATGATTTACTTTGATTAGCTTAGGTAGTGAAAGACTTTAGCTTTGATTTTCTTGTAATTGTTGATAGGTTTAATTTTGATTCGATGGAACCAAACATGCTTCAGATGTTTAATTTTGGTAGTTAGTATTAGGATTAACTCAATTCTCATGAAAATGATGCTTAATCATTCACTTTATTATTTGATACGGCTTGTGCACTTATAGAAACCAATAACAAATTAATGCACCAAAACAAAGTTCCATAAGTTAATTCTGTTGTATACATTAGCACATTACTACTAAGTTTAACTGCAAATGAAATAACTAGTTTAAGCCCAAAACAGAATTTACAGCTTCCATGATTGTTGAGAATCCAATTTTGAGAATAGAATGAGAGATAAGCTTATTTGTCACAATATTTTCATGTCTAGCCCTACCATTGTGTTTGGTAAGAGAGAAAATAAAAGAAGAAAAGAGGGTAGAAGGAAAAACTACTTTCTTTCCATTTTTTACTTTTTTTGGTTGGAGGGAAATAAAAAGAAAGGAAAATTAGTGGATTTGTATCTTTTCCTTTCTTCCAAATCTAGTCCTTCCAAATGTGAGGCTAAAATACTCATTCAACTCAAATTAATAATTTTACTTAAACTTTACCCCTAATCTTCTTTTTCCCTTTTTTTTTTTTTTCCTTCAATCCAAACACAATAATGAAATAAATAACATTCTTTCTTTTATATCCTTTTACATTCCTGACCTATTTCTCTTCCCTCCTTTTTTTTCTTTCATATCAAACATAGTGTAAAGAAAATATTACCTTTTCGCTTCACTATAGCTTTTTTTCTCTAAGATTGAGTGCAATGAGGATTAACATTTGAGTCTTTGTAAATTTTCATTTTCCATAATTATTTCTTTGTTTATCATATCAACGTATTGAAAACTTGGAATAAAAAAAGTCAACCTTACCATGTTAATTTTCACTTCTATTTTACAAAATTTTTTAACATTAAAAGATACAACAACTAGAACAACCCCCACAAACAAAAGATCAAAGCAATCGTCCACACATTACCATTCTATTTATTGCAATATCATAAATAAAAAATTTTAAGAGAAGGTATTAGCACCTTATAACTTCTGTCCAAAATTCAATATTAGTTAATATTGCGTTATTTTCATAGCCTTAATTAGAATTTTTTAAATAGAGAATTTTATAACTAATTTTATATATTGGAAACTTTATTAAATTATTTAAATATTTTAACAACAATTTAAGAATATCTCCTCATCTCTCACGTATTCAAGAAAACTACTGTTTCTCTTAAGAAGTTCGGTCTTTGGATTAATTAATTATTTTTTAACATAAATTTATTCATATTAAAATTTATTTTTTTAATAATTTAAAATTTAATAAGAATGTTTATTATTGAAAATTTTTTAAAATTTGCCAATATTTTGGCAAAATTTAAAAAGGAAATCTTCATCTAAAAATTTTCTTAGAAATTGCTATTTACAATTTGCTAAGAGTTCTAGTATCGGAAGATTGAAATTTTAATTTTATGAATGTAAACAAAAAGTATATATGATGCACATCATTTAACTTAAATATATTTTCTAATTTATTTCATCTTTTCCAAAGCTATAATTTCATATTTATTTCTAAAAGATTTTTATAAGAATGATTTTTTTAACTCTTTCAATATTTTGGTAAGATTTTATTAATCAAAATTTCCAAGAAAATTTAGGAAAAATCGATTTTTCAACTTTTTTTCTAAAAAATATTTCATAATTATTTTTCTCAAAAATCTTTTTATAGTAAAAATGATCTGTAAACTTTTTTAATATTTTGGTTTGTGTATATTAATCAAATTTACTGATAAAATTTAAGAAAAATTAGTTTTTCAACATTTTCTTAAATATTTTGAAAAAAATTTTTGTTGTAAAAAAAAAGATTTTAAAAATTTTTCAATATTTTGGCAAGATTTATTTATCAAATTTACTATGAAATTTTAGGAAAAATTAATATTTCAACTTTTCCCTCACAAAATTATAAATTTATTTCTAATACCTATTTTAGTTTTTTACTTTGAATAATTTTTTTTTAAATATACCTAATTGAAAATTTTAAATGTGGGTAAAAAAAGTAAAACATAGGCTTAAGTATAAATAAAGCACTTAAACTAAAATTAATAATCATTCATGTCCCTTATAATTTTCATTAAATCAAAAGTTCAATTGAATGAAATAAATGTTTAAAGGTTCAATTGGTTTAAAATAAATGTTTGAGAATTTAATTAAATGAAAATAAATGTTAGAGGCCTTAGTTAATTGCAATAAAATGATTTAGGTCTAAATAGTTATTTAAATTTTAGTTTAAGGTCCTTTTTATAAAAAAACAAAATTAAATCTCCAAAATCAAAATTTAACTTCCAAAACAACATAATTTTGGCTTTTCTTTAAATAGCCAAAATCAAAATTTTCTTCATTTTTTTCTTTTACTATTTCCCCTCCCCATTTTCCTCTAGCCTCTCTCTAGAATTGAAACTCTCGGCCTTCAATAAACCTAATTTTTGATAAGTTATTATTGTTGCCACCACTATTGTTCATCATCAACTGTCACTTGCTAACATCAATTTGCTTTCAAATTTTGCCCAAATGCTCTTTTTTTCTCCTTTGTACATCTATCCTAATGAATTTTCAAAAAGCAATTTCTAAAAACGCAAATCTAAGCCTAAACTCATTGTCAATCTAAACGCTTCCATCTTCTACTAGTTTCTTCCTCTTTCTCTGCTATGCTTTTGCTCCAATTTTCAAAACAAAATCACAACAAAACCATGAAACTTAAAATAATCCTAACTGCCCTCATCTTTTCCCTTTATTTTTCATCGCCAACAACCCGAAATCACCAACAAACATCGAAACCTCAATAGTCTTTATTTTATTTTCTACCTTTTGTCTACTTCTCTACTGAATCTTTGTGTGTTTTTATGTTGGTGATTGTTGTGTTTTATGTTGATTGGCTTCGCATTTTTGCTTCAATGCTGATGTTTGAGGGTTTGCTATTTTGTTTTGTTAAAATTTCTAAAATTGCTTTTGCAGAGGGAATTCTCTGTATGATTACTTGTTGTAAAAGATTGTGTTTTCCTTTTATATTCTTGCTGATGGAAGAATTTTATATTATCAAATTTTGCTAACAGTTCTAGGTTTGCTAGCAGATTTGATCCTTACTTTCTTTCTTTTTTGTCTTTTTTCCTTTCATTTTAGATTTCAATTATGTTTTTTTTTCTTAATTTTTAATTTTTAATTTTTAATTTTTAATTTGTTAATTTTCTTTTTTTCTTATTTTTGTACTTTTCAGATTATATAAATAAATAATAAAAAATAAAGACAAGGCAATTAAAATTTTGAGCATATTTTTTACTTATGCTCAAAGTCCACTTAAGAATTGAAGAACAAAATTAAAGCCAATTAAGTAGTCCAAATATAAGTTTCAAAATTCAAAAAATATTCATGAATGCTAATTAATCTTAAACCCTGATAGTAATTCAAAACCTTAAATCAAAATTTCAAGACCTAATTTACCATTAAGTGGCCCTAAAATAAATACTAAATCTTAACGTTGACTTAATGATAATTTAAATTTGAATATGAAAGTCTAGTCTAGTTTAAAATTTGAACTAAGGCAAAATTTGAATTCAAATCAAGTTAATTCAAATGATTCAAAAAATATTAAAAGACACAAATAAAATGTGGTGTCTATAATCGATTCTACCTTGTTAATTTTCAATTTTTTTACAATGATTTTCCACATTAAAAGATAACAAAAATTGAAACAACCTCTTGATAGAAAAAGTCAAAAGAAATAATTGTCCAAAATTGTTATCATTTTATCCATTCCAATGTCACAAATTAGAAAAAGGAAGATATAAAAAGAAACAAAGTTTATTCCTTATCTTTTTTGTCCTTGTTTTACTATCTATTCATTTTTGGAAAAATCCCAAATAAACCCTCGAACTTAACTAAAAATTGGAAACAAGCCCTTTATCTTTTATTGTATGAAATTATGATTATGAACTCTTGTTTCATTGTAATTATGCCTTTTAAATCTAGAAAATGAATGAATAAAGCCCAATTGGTTGAATTTCTAAAATATATCTAGAAAGTGAACGAAATTGTTATCTAACTCATCCAAATAAATCTAAATAGGAGTTTTCTATGAAATACATTTGTGGACACCATATTTTGTTTAGAATCTTTTCAAGTATTTATGAGCGTCGAGATTTACTTTTGGATTTTCTATTCATTAATCAAATTATGGGCTTTTAAAATTTTTTGGTTATAGTATTTGTTAATATTTTGGGTATAGAGTCCAATAATGTTAATTGTCCATTTCCATTTTTATTTTATTCATTTTTTTGTCTTTTAATATTTAAACAAAAAATTGAAAATTGAAAAAGTTAAAAATCATAAAAATCAAAATAAATGTTGTAAGAAGATTCAAACTAAACCTAACATGATTATCTTTTTGGCTTTCGTACAGTTCACTTTAAAGTTTTGGAATATAAGGTT